TAATAGCTGGCCTTGCTAGAATCCTTAGTTTCACTGCTGTTCTTCATGTGCTTCTCTGAAATTTACTCCAACTATATAGGACTGAATTTATTGTGGAATAACATTGGCAATCTTAACCTACTCATTTAACTTATCTATTTTTATAGCAAGATAAATATTGTTAGTCTCAGACAATAGCTCACATTTTTTGAGAAGCATGCTTTCCCCATCCATTTGTCGTATAACATGACCCAGCCCTATTATAGGTCATTCAAAAGTCAGCCTCGCATAATGAAAATATATTATGAAAACAGATGTTTAGGAGATTTCCTGTACAACAGTCAGCCAATTCATATGCTTTGTCTCTGCTGGCTTCTTTTACCGTGAATTAACTTTTCACAATAGCAGCGGAGGCAAATATGAACATACATTTCCTTTGCTCTAAAGAAATTGTTCCGGCTCTTGGAATAATATCAAATCTTTTAAAACCGTAAGACCAGATTAGTTGCTTGTTCAGTATGTTTTGCTTCATCTGTGTCTATCCAGTGACCTAGGAATTAGTGTAAGTTGTTTTCACTGCTGAACTGGATATTTATATACTTAGCCAGATTTTCATGTGTTATTTAATTCTGTATTGTTTCTTATATTTGTAGTAAAATATTGAACAATTAAAAGTGTTGACTCCAAATATCTGGCTTATGATATTCTCTTTGGAAATGTGGAAATGAAAGATAATCCTTGTCTTTTCTCATAATGTGTGTAAAACCCTCCCCTCCTCTCTATCTCCTGCCTCTTAAAAGATGAGCTGATGTTTCTGACTAATCACAAAAACACAAATTGGATGTCTGGCCATTGTGAGCTCCTTTGAGTTGGTGCCTGTGTCCTTTTGACATGACCCTATCAGTTCTGCAGCACTTCCTTAGATGTGTTCTTTTGATTTTGCTTTTAGATACCAATTTTTGCAGACTGATGATCTCACATAGTTTTGAATTTAGTGGGAATCATCCCCTTGTATTTTTCTGGATTTCTAGTATCTGAGCCAGTTGGTGCTAGATCAGGCAGGATGACTTAATGCAACAGTTCTCAAACATTTTGGTCTTAGGGACCCCTTTTCACATTTAAAAACATCATTGAGGATCCCAAAGAGCTTTTTCTGTAATGTGAATTATATCTTTTGATATTTATTATATGTGAATTTAAAACTAATAAAATATAAATACAAAAATATACAATCATATATCCTATTAGCTGTCAGAGTGATGCCAACATCATATATCTTATAGCTTTTGGAAAACTTAAGAACACATTTATTAGAGAATGAGAGTGAAAAAGTCAAATAATTTGTTGGTGTTACCATGACACTAAGTTTTGATTCTGTGAGCCCCGTGAGATGGTCTCAGGGGCAATGCTAAAGGCTACTGATTTAAAGTATAGGCAAAGAAGAAAACCACCCTAGGGGAAGGTTTCATGAGTCTTTCTCAAAGGAGCTCCTTGCTAAACATCTATTTTCATGGTACGTAAGCATTTCACCTTTAAACCAGGACTTAAGGCCATTACATTACTGGGAGCTCCTCCTAAAAAGCAGAGATCTCAGAAAGCCCAAGGACTAATTCTTATCTATTGTTAATAATTCAATTTAAATTAGCTTATTAAATGGCTCTTCAGTTACTTTTAAGGATGTTGAGATACTTGAACTTAGGATAGGTATGTTTGATGGGGAAGACTTGGGAGGTTGTAGAGAAATAAAGAGGAGAAGGAAAGGATAACTGGACGCATGCCCCTGTCTAAGGTGGTTCCGTGTGGAACACCACAGCCTTGCTTTCTCTTCTGTGTCTACTGCCCTCTCACCCCGGGAGGCTGCTCACCAGCCCTCTCATACCTATCCAGAACTCTCAATTACGGGTGCCTTTCTTGTATTTGTGAATTAGAAAAAGAGCTTCGGCTGTGCATATTTAAGCAGAATTGGGAAAGTTGTAAACTTTTGAGTCCCTTACAATAATTCAATCATGTATCTCTTTTCTTAGTAAAAATTTAGAAAAATTCCATGGCAGCGAAAACCTGCTTAGAGAAAACAGAAGTCTATTGTGCTTCATGGAAACTGAAACTGCAAATAAGGTTTTTCTCCTTTGGTCTTATTTTTTTTTTGGTTTGTATTCTTCAATGTATGACTTGATAACAATTCATAAGTCTAGGTTCAAAGAGTACAAAATCCATATTGCTACTAGGAATCACAAGGCTTTGATGAAAACTAATCATTGTTTTTCATACGAGAAAGAACTAACTTTATTCTATAGCTGTTCTGAGCTTAAAAAGAGTGTTTTTTTTAACTTTTGTTGTAGAGACAGGGTCTCACTCTGTCACCCAGGCTGGAGTACAGTGGTGCCATCATAGCTCACTGCAGCCTTGAAATCCTGGGCTCAAGCGATGATCCTCCTGCCACAGCCTCCTGAGTAGCTAGGACTACAGGCACACACCACTTTGCCTGACTAAGTTTTTATATTTGTTGACATAAGGTCACACTATGTTGCCCAGGCTTGTCGCAAACTCCTGGCCTCAAGCAATTCTTCTCGCTTGGCTTTAGCTGGGATTTAACGGGTGAGTGACTGCACAGCCTTTGCATTTTAAAGTAAAGTTTCTTGAATTATTTCTTCACAGTAGTGATATTTTTGGGTGTCTGTTCTCAAAAGATTCCAGATTTGATTTCATCCTCCCCTCCACAGTTGCTCAGGCTAACTCACCTGCACAAAGTCACATGGAGCAGTGACTCAATCCAAACAAGCCAGCATTTACACAGGCATCATGATCATTTGTCTTGTGGGTCCTGAAGGTAATTAATCCCATTTGTGTAGGTGTGAAAATAGACTTCATACTTTTCAATTACTTTTTTCCTGTGTTTTGAGCTGGAATGCCAACTCAGAATTCCCGACTTCCTGTTTAGTGCACTCTCTTTTCTCCCCACCCTGAAGTGGCTTATCTCATGCTTATTTGCCAGCATGTCCTATTTGTTCTGTCAATGTATTCAGAATGCAGCTCCTATACCTGGCCCAAACCATTATTATTTTTCTCCTAGATCATTGTTACTGCTTTCTAATTAATCTTCCTGCTTCTGCATTCTTCCCCTTTCAGTCTATTAGAAACATAACTGTTCTAAAATATGAACCTGGAGAACATCATTCTCAGCAAACTGACACGAGAACAGAAAATGAAATACCACATATTCTCACTCATAGGTGGGTGTTGAACAATGAGAACACATGGACACAGGGAGGGGAGCACTACACACTGGGGTCTGTTGGGGGGAATAGGGGAGGGACAGCGGTGGGTGGGGAGTTGGGGAGAGATAGCATGGGGAGAAATGCCAGATATAGGTGAAGGGGAGGAAGGCAGCAAATCACACTGCCACGTGTGTACCTATATGCATGTTCTTCACATGTACCCCAAAACCTAAAATGCAATAAAAAATAAAATAAAATAAAATATGTCAAGTCAAATCACATCATTCTTTGGCTTAAGATTTCCAAATACTTCCCATCTCACCTAGAATAGAAGCCGAAGTCTTTAGGTGGGTATAAGGCTCTAGACAATGGGGCTCGCTGATATTCTCTGAAGTCACCTTCTACTACTCTGTCTCTTGATCACCAGTATCGCTGCTATCTCACCGACATTTCAGACATGTTTCCATCTCAGAGACCTGGCATTTACTCTTCTCTGCCTGGAATGTTCTTTCTGTGGGTACCTGCATGGCTCATATGCCTTTTCCCATGAAAAATACTACATAGATAACCAAAAGATACTTCAATCTTTTAGTTAGACTCATATTAATCTAAATAGTAGGACACATCTCTCAAAAAGTTGGAACTCAAAAAGAGAAAGAGTTTTGTGTTTCTTGGAGTATCTTTCCGGTTCCAGTCCAATTAGAGAGGTACTGAAGCCCACTGCTCAGGTAAAGCATTTCAAATAGCACATGATTCTAGATCTGGTTGTGTTTAGCTCAGTATCAAGTAATTTCCTTAATTTATATTTATACTAGTTTATTGTCTAATGAATCATAAGCAATACTGTAAATACAGTCAGCCCCTCCATGTCTGTGGGTTCCACATTCGTGGGTTCAACCAATCACAGATCAAAAATAGTTGAAAAAAATACAATAAGAGTAATACAAATTTAAAAACAATACAGTATAACAATTATTTGTATAACATTTACACTGTAATAGGTTTATACATAATCTAGAGATGATTTAAAGTGTGTGGAAAAAGGTGCATAGGTGATATAAATATAGTCTGCCATCAGGAACTTGAGCATCTGCGGATTTTGGTATCCATGGAGCTTCTGGAACCAATCTCCTGAGGTTACCACAGGATGAGTGTATCACATTTAAAAATAAGTCAGGTGATGGCTTTAATTAAATGCTCTTAAGTTGAATATTGATTAACAGGCCAGATGGCTCTACAGTTTCAGCAACGAATTGGAAAAACAGCGAGCAGTCCGATGGAAACACACTGATTTTATTGTGTACCTTTAAGGGTAGGTAGAATTGGCCTACAAGTGTTTGTGCCACATAGCTTAAAGATATCCTGTAGTCTATTTCCCCTTTCCACTTGTCTCAGTGGGCAGTTCTGGGACTAAATATACGTTGTTGCAGCTTCTCATGGAAAGGAGATGTTTTCTCTACTTCTTCTTGGAGCTAAATTTAATTTACAGATACCTAGGAAAGAGAGAATGTATTCCTTGAGAGAATTCCAGACCTAGCAAGTTGACACTGCATTTATTTGACCGTGTCCTATCTTCAGAATGTCATCAGAAGCCACCATTTGCATAAACAAAGGTAAACTGACACTTTGAGACCTAGTGTCTCAAGATTTGGCTAGCACAAATTCCCCTAAGTAAACCAAAACTTTTGGTGAAACCAAATGACGTCCGTTGAGTCTCTGAGACTCATAGACTGAAAAAGAATCATAGAAACACTAGAAGAGACTGCAGAGATGAAGAAACTGAGGGAAACAGCTCAAATAACTTACCGAGATCACGCAAGCCTCACTTCTTCACCAGGACAGATGAGAGAACCAGAGAGCAGTACCACTCCTTGTTGTTACAAAGGCTCTTCTGTGGTCTGACAGAATATGGATTTGTGCCCTGGCTCAGCTGAGAAAACCATTTTCTAAGTTTATATATATATTTATATATATTCAGGACCTGAGAGCTTACTGGAACCCAAAACTTTCCTAAATCGCCTTGCCAAATGTAAGGTTCAGTGTTCCCATCACTGGTGTCTGATGTCCCTCCAACTACTTTGGCAGTGAGGAGGTATTCATCCTGTTTGAGAGATAATATGCACAGTTTTGACATTGCACTTTATTCTGCAGAATCCCTTTTCTGTTGCGTAGATTTCCCTTGGCTAGGGAAGGGAATGTTGAAAAACACGCTATTGAAAACACATTGTTTTTTCAACAGCGTGTTTTTTCCTTTGGATCTTGAGAAGAGAAAGCAAGAGTGCCCATGAACAAGTAAAACTGTATTTTTGCCAGGAGAGGGGAACATTTTCCAGATACGTCAGGTTAAAAATAACAAATGAAAAACCATGAACCAGTCATAAAACGAACAATTATAAAGCCAGACTTGAAGGAATTTCCATTTGCTCTCATGAAGTTTCAAAAGCTAAACATACTGGAAAACACATTTCAACAGCGGTGAAAAGATGAGGAGAAAGACAACAAGTACCTTCCTATAATTGGACCACATTTTTTGTTTTATTTATTTAACCAAGAGATGGAATAGAGGTGCTGATATTACTAGGTGAAGGTTGTGATTAATTTATATTGAATAAATATATAATTTTCTTGTCATAAACTTTATGTTTTAATGAATAGTTTTCATCAGAAAGTGACACTGCATTTCTCATCATTACGTTATATGTTTCTGCCAGTAGCATTTATGGTGATCAGAACAGCAGCATGTGTCTTGCAATAGATAGCAATTTTCAAGCACCATTTCAAGCATCTCACTGTACTGGGTCCTGAGAGGTATTTGCAGAGGAAGACACTACTAAAATCCTGGTTCTGAAGAAATTAAATATTTAGTAAAAGATGAAATAAATCTACTTGCATATATTTAGAAACGATTTGTGGAAATTCACGAAGAACTATCATGAATGGAAAATGAAATTCAGCAATATGTTTTTTGTTGTTTTATTTTTAAGACAGAGTCTCACTCTGTTGCTCGACTGGAGTGCAGTGGCGCAATCTTGGCTTATTGCAGCCTTTGTCTCCCGGGTTTAAGCGATTCTCCTGCCTCAGCCTCCTGAGTAGCTGGGATTACGGGTGTGTGCTACCACATCTGGCTAATTTTTTTATTTTTAGTAGAGACGGGATTTCACCATGTTGATCATGCTGGTCTTGAACTCCTGACCTCAGGTGATCTGCCTGCCTCACCCTCCCAAAGTGCTGGGATTCCAGGCATGGGCCACCGTGCCCAGCCTGGAATGTGTTCATTATAATTCAATTTATACTTTGGCCAGGTGCGGTGGCTCACGCCCGTAATCCCAACACTTTGGGAGGCCAAGGCCGGTAGATCACCAGGTCAAAAGATCGAGACCATCCTAGTCAACATGGTGAAACCCCGTCTCTACTAAAAATGCAAAAAAATGCACTCCAGCCTGGGTAACAAGAGCGAAACTCCGTTCAAAAAAAAAAAAAACAATTTATACTTTGATTTTGTTTCTACATAATTACAGATGTAATGCTGTGATATTTTGGATATGGATGACGGAATAAAATTGGTGTACGTTCATCGTTGTTGAAATTGAAGCCCTTCTATTCTCTTATTTTGGCATGTGTTTGGAAATCTCATAATCCAAGCTTAAAAAAGTACTCATATCTTACTTTGCTAAGCAAGAACACTAGTACCTCCTCTTTTCTCACAATATATTCAACTCTGCCACATTTTCATCTGGTTTCCAAATAAAATATTTCCTCAACAACCTTGAATTCCATTACTATAGACTTTTATCAATGCAAATACAATTCCAAACACTCTGCATTCAATCATTCATCAACGTGTGGGTGTTAAAATGAGAATACAATCATTCTCTTGAGAAGTGTTGGAGTAGGAAAGAGTTGACAGAAAGACCAGGTACTGACAGAGTTTGGGTAAGCAAACGGAATTCAGTTTTGGATTTAGAAAAAAAATAAGTGTGGCCGGGATACATAGCAGAGAGGTTTCCAGTGGTTTCTCTTACCAATTGGTGTGACTCTCTGGACCACCAATGACTTATCAGAGGATACACTACTGCAGACAATGAAGTCGCGATGATATTCTCTTTACACTTCTGGCAGCGTCACTTCTTCCTCTCTGACCGGACTATTCCTGCTCGTAGCTTGAACTGGATACAGGTGAGAGGTCACCCACCTGGGCAGGAGCCTCAGAATTTCTGGTGTTATCCTATACACGATGTAATTGCGAAACTTTAAACACATTTTATTTATTATCCTCAGACACTCCAAGCTATTATATAGCCAGTTCCAAGCATTTTCACATTCAGGACTGTTAGAGTAGATGTAGTAGTCGTGCTTTACACTCACTCCTGGGCTCCTTTGACAGTGATCGTTAGGGGCAATGGACTGAAAACACAAAATCCATGTAATTGGCATTTCTCCTTGAACCATATAATCATAGCCCATTACAGAATCGCTTATACCCCTGAATTTTAGGAACAATGCTGCAAGAAGTGTTTTCAGGCATTGTCGATATATTTGCTGAAAAATTATTCTGAAGTTAGAGTACATTATTCTTCTTAGTATTCCAAGTGAAAACCATACTAAAAAAAATCTACTTTCCTGAAAGAATTGGCACACTGTCTCCTTAAAAAATTTTTTTTTTAGATTCTGGGGTACATGTGCGGCATGTGCAGGTTTGTTACATAGGTAAACGTGTCTCGCTGGGGTTTGCTGCACCTATCAATCTATCCCCTAGGTAATAAGCAAGCATGCATCAGCTCTTTTTCCTAATGTTCTCTCCCCTCCACCAAACTCCCCCAGCGTGTATTGTTCCTCTCCCTGTGTCTCCTTTTTCATTCTAACGATATACAATCGTGTTTGCATAATGATGTTTCTGTCAATGACAGACTATATATTCAAGAATGGTCCCTTTGGATTATGCAATGGAGCTGAAAAAATCCTACCACCTAGTGATGTCATAGCCATCATAAGGTCGTATGATAATAAATGATTATGTTACAGGTTTATGAATTTAGTATACTTTTTATTGTTAAATTAGAGTATACTCATCATACTTTAAAAAATATTCTTAATTGTACAAGAACCTCAGGAAGGTCCTTTGGGAAATATTCCAGCAGAAAGCATTGTTAACATAGGAGATGACAGTTCTCTTTGGATGTTATTGCCTTTGAAGATCTTTCAGTGGGACAAGATGTGGTGGAGTTGGAAGAGAGTGATATTGATCATCTCAATGTTGTGTAGGTCTAGGCTAATATGTATATTTGTGTCTTCATGTTTAATTAAAAAGTTGAAAGAGTAAAAAAATGAATAATTGTTATTCAATTGTTATTCACAAAGTGCTTATGCGAAAAGAATATGAAGAAAGACAATATTTTAGTACGGCTGTATAGTGTATTTGTGTTTGTGGTTTGTTTTGTTTTTTGAGATGGAGTCTTGCCCTGTCGCTCAGGCTGTAGTGCAGTGGCACTATCTTGGCTTACTGCAATCTCTGCCTCCTGGGTTCAAGCAATTCTACTGCTTCAGCCTCCCAAGTAGCTGGGACTACAGGCATGTGCTACCATGCCCAGATAATTTTTTTGTATTTTTAGTAGGGACAAGTTTTCACCATTTTCGCCAGGATGGTCACGATCTCCTGACCTCGTGATCCGCCCGCCTTGGCCTCCCAAAGCGCTGGGATTACAGGCGTGAACCACTGCATCTGGCTGTGTTTGTCTTTTAAGATAAGTGTTACTACAAGAGTGAAAAGGGTAAAACAAATTTAAAAGTTCATAAAGTAAAAAAGTTATAGTAAGCTAAAGTTAATTTATAATTGAAGGAAAATTATTTTTATAAATTCAGTGTCTCCTAGGTGTACAGGTTTTTAGTCTACAATAGTCTCCAGTAATATCCTATGCCTTCCTGTTCACTCACCACTCACTCACAGACACCCAGAGCAACTTCTAGTCCCGCAAGCTCCACTCATAGTAAGTGCCCTATACAGATGTACCATTTCTAAATCTTTTCTATCACATTCTTATTGAACATTTTCTATGTTTGGATAAGTTTAGATACACAAATACCACGATGTTACCGTTGTCTCCAGGACTCAGAACAATAATATGTTGCACAGGTTTGAACCTAGAAGCAATAGGCTATACCAGATAGCGGGGTGTGTAGTAGGCTATACTGTTTGCTTTCTGTAAGTATACGCTATGATGTTTTCACAATGACAAAATCACCTAACAACACACTTCTCAGAGCATGTCTCCAATGTTAAGTCATATGTAACTATAAATGACTAATTTTTCCTTCTTGCCTTGACCTTCAAGAAGCCAAGATCTGATTAAGATACTTTGTGGTGATTATTAAAAATAATAAATGCTCATTAGAAAAAATTGTGAAGTACAGAATAAAAATAAAGGAAGTAGAGATATAAAAATATTAGTCTATTTTACTATCATCCAGAAAAGCCACTATTAATTTAAGAGCCAAATATGGAACTCAATTGATAAACTTGTGTTTACCATTATGGTTGATACATGATTGCTCACCTTTTCTTGGTTCCAGCATTCCCAGTTTACTACTTTTTAAGTATATATAGTTTGAAATTGATTCAAGTTACTTTGGTGAAAATAAGGGGCAATCAAAATTAATCCTTAAATAAATATGGTGGAAAATATGAGGCAAGCATTTCCAAGTGTGGGTTTCCTGATATAAAACCTACCCAACTATATGATTATAAGTATTCATCAGATGAGTCCCTGCTTACACATAGAAAACTTCAAGTGCTATAAAATAATAATAACTAAAACAGCGAACATTATTGGTCACTTTGCTATTTCACCACAGTGTTGACTGCTGTTCATACTATGTCAATTAATATTCACAGCATCCCTATGAAAGGGTACCCTTATTTCATTCACAAACAAATGGTGGTAACAAACCCTAGACGCTTGCTAAGGCTAAGTAATTTCTTCAGTTCTAAAGCTAGATATTACTAAATGAAAAGAATTTTGATGTGTTAGAAATTTCTGAAGTGATTTTAATTAAAACCTCTTTGAGAATGTCTCCAGGAAGTAATACCTAAAGTTCAGCCTTTAGTCATTAAGCAGTCCACTTCACTAGTTTGTAAGGTAAGAAAAGAGTAGATTGAGGTTGTATTTGGGGTCAGCGTAGCTATGTAGAAATATCATTCCTCTAGTAGAAGAAAACAATGAAAGTGAGAAAGCCACCTAACGGATCTATTTAAAAGTTCAATGGAGAGCAATGAACACAGAGAATAAAT